TTTTTTTTTTTAAACGGCAACATAAAACGCCACCTCAGAGCAGGTTGATATAGGTTGATATATGTGGAGATTTGTACCTTGACTGGGACAATACAAATCTTTTAAAATGTCGTATGGCAGTCCGCTTTCCTCTTTCAAATGAACCGTCTCCAAAGTAACCATGGCACAATTTGACAATGCAACGTGAGATGGCGATTTTAACTGACTTCTGTCACACGATCCAACCAAAAGATGTGCAATTACAAGTTTTAGGGTTAACTCCAGTGATTGGTTGATTATCATTCGCGGTTGTTTCCAGCTGACTATTGTGCCAGGTGTCCCAAACGCTGTGCCGTTTGATTTCATCTACATAAATGGCCATTTGCGAGTTGCCATTTGCCTCTGTGTCAAAACGAGTCTTTGTGCAAAACCATTCATATAAAAATGTGTTTCTCCCACAGGTTCTTTTTATGCAAATCAAACTTTAAATCGTCCCAAAGTTTTTGTAAGTGATGTACCTGGTCGGTGCCCGTGTAGTCCTGGGACTATTGCGAAGGAGAAGGGAGTCGCTGCCAATGTCCATCCCCCGTTTCCCGCACAGCCAAGTGGCCTGGGCAAACAACAACTTGAAATTTCGACTTGCACGTGGTCAGGTCGTGCACCTTGAAACCGTGGAAAAGTTGTTGTGCCAGCCGGCGTCAAGCAAATAATTTTTTTCGCAGTTTTTTCTATCTTTTAAGTTGAGAGGTATAACAAAACACTTTATGACTGGTCTGACAATAAACAATGAGTTTTGTTTTCCCTCGACCTCGGGAACATTAAGGGTCTCAGGGAAACAAACTTCACTGTTTCCCTTGGAGCCAGTCATTAAATGTTCATCAACTGAGAGTTAACAATTCCGGTTCATTTGTTGGTCGGAAAAAAGTGTCAATCTAAATCGTTCGGGCGTACGTCACACAAAGGTGACGTAGATGCTTTAAAAGGTTTAATTGAAGTCTCGAAAAGGTAGGCTTATATCTGTCAACATTGCATTACTGCGTTGGTGAACAGTTTTTCAATAACCTTTCCGCTGTGAGTATGAAGTCCAGAGAAAAGGTCTTCCTTGAAAGCTTACTGTCAGAATCATTACATTCAGTTAAAGCTATGGTTATTGCCTATTGTGATTTTTCCTTTTTTGAAAAGTGTTCACGAGTTTGCTCATGGACACTTTGATCTTCCTTCTGCCAACATAAATCATTTAAGGATCTGGCATGAAGACATGAAATCACGACGCAATTCCACCAAACCAAAGATTCCTCTTTGGTTTTACCAATCTAGATATATAATGTGGTGAGTCTGAACGGAATACCTATTTGGCCCGACAAGCATAAGCCTTGGCAGATCGTCTAGTCAGATCCTTCTGGCGAGCTGGCGGCAGTTTTATCGAGTTCTAGGGCAAGATGTTCCATCAAAACTGACAAGATTTTGAGAAAGCTCAAAGTTCTACTTTTAGAGAGTTGTTAGCCGTTTTTTTTTTTTAATCAAAGAAAGCCCTCGTAGAGTCTTTGAAAACCCAGACCTTCACGTGGTTTACCGTTTATCTCTATGTTGTCAGGATCGTGTATTCTGGGCCAAGATACCAGCATTACAAGACCTTGCAATGGATATCCATCAAAATTGTTTACTTTTAAAATGCTAGTAAAAAATCAAATTCATTGACTGACATT